GTATTTTTGTTATTTTAGGGTTTTGGTTTTGTGACATTTTTAACAATAGCAGATGGTTTGAAAGCTATGGATGAAATGAATGAAAAAATTGTGGATGGACGCCGATTAGTTGTACGTAACTTACATGTACTAAATCTTCCAGTTTTAACACTTGCTTCTTTAAAGGTTAATTATGCGAAACCAAAACAAAAGCATATTGTTCAGCCATACTACACAGAAGAACCGTAAGTATTCAGTTTTTCATATTTCCTTAGTGAACGAACATCTTGAATTTGGAGGCACCATTCTTTTCTGTTAATGTGCGTTCAAATTTACGGGTTATTAATGCGGTATAAGTATTGGAGCTGCTTTTTTGCTTTCTATAGCTGTTTGAAGGTGCATATCTTACAGAATTAGGATGTTTGTTGTGTCCTAATCAACCCAATAATTTGTAAACTTTCGTACTGGTAGGCTCAAATTATTGAAAGAGAGAAAGTGACAGAACTTATTGCAAGGGGAAAAAGCAGCACCTGGTGCTGAAAGGAGGTGCCATAAGGTACTGCCTTGCAAAGCATATGGTAGTGGGATCGAATCACAAATTGCACGAATCCTTTCGTCTACAATAAACTTTCAGGAGGAAGTTTGGCTGCATTCACATCGTACTGCTAAGAAGATAACAATACTTTATTTTTGATTCAAATGGAAGCAGAATAATAAAAAAAAGATTGTGGTCGGATTCGATTCTTTTATCCATCCGCCATCTTGAACTTTACGAAGCAAGAGCGTTACTGATAGACTAAATAGGTAGTTTTGGGTACCGAAATGGTACTGACGTGCTATAGTACAAAAAAATGCTTTTTTCTTCTGCACTTATTGGTCGCGAAACATTTTTTGTAGAGTTTTTTGTTTATATGAACGCTTCTTCATTCAGAAAAACAACTCGTACTAAACAACTGCCCGTATTACCAACGAAATTTGTTCCCTCTTTTGCTACACCTCCTCCACCTCGTCGTCAACAATTAATTGTCGCTTCTCAATCAGCAAGTTGTGCATCAACTCCCACACGTGCTCATCAATACTGCCCTCAATTAGAACGTCATCATTAAGAAAATGTGCTATTGATAGCTAGCAAGAGAAAAATAGTTTTAAACTGTGTGTTGTGTGTTAGTTGTCTATGTCTATGTATATATATTTAATACAACATCGTTGTTTTTTTGTAAATACCAATCATTTATTTACTCAGTTATTTTCTCTTCTCTTTTACTCTAAAATTTTCTCCGTGTTTTTATATCAATTGCAAGAAGAACTAGTATCGTAGTAGTCTTCTCGTTTTTACCGGTTTTGCGTGCTGGAAGAATACAAAATTGAATTCAAATTTTTTATCCTTTTTTAATACAAAAAAATGAACATGAATTTTTCATGTTTTTGTCGTTTTTTGATTTATTTCCACGTGTGTGTGTGTTATTGTATTTTGTCTAGAAAATTTTCTATTATTATTGTTAATCTCTCTATATATCTGTTTTTACATTTAATAACGTAATAAAATTGCATGGTAGATTCCTAGCCTAGAAAAATCATGTCTAAACAAATTTCTTCGTCTGATCTTTTGACCTATAGTTGGGCTTACATTATACTATATCTGTTTCTCCTAGAGCAGTTTGGATAAAGAAGTCTTCGTCTGCGGTAAAGTGTTGTTCGACATGGATAACGACTCTGTTTCAGCTGATGCGAACTAAAAAATAAAGCCACTAATTGGCCTTCATTTAGTTCGTGAAACAACAGTGTTGCAGTATTAGTATTGCTTCACTTGACATGTGAATTCATGAGGCGTTTTTTTACCAATGTTTTCAGTTATTTTTTGTTGTAATTAACTGCAATCAGATTGCGGCTTAGATCCATTTCCCAGTTTTTGATTTTTTTCATCGATAAGATCTGCGAAAACG